TAAATGTTAAAAATGGTAATACCGTGGTAACTCCAGTTACTTATTACTGAATGCCATTAAAACAGAAATTATAACTGGCTATCAAATTCTGAAGTTCCAGCTTGAAAGACATTCAGTGTTATAAAAAATGTTGATTTCATATTTTATATTCCTAAAGGCACTCCAAATGTTCTGCGTGGCTCAATTTTGTCCGGTTTTGTCCATGTGAGGAATTTAATGGCAGAAGCAGAGCGCTGCATCAGTAGCACATGAGCGATGCAGCAGTTACACTGAAGAGCATGATCTGCCTTAATAATGCATCAGCGATCTGTCCTTCAGACACTGAGAAGACACTCACTGAGCGCTGACCCACACAAAACACACACACACACATCTCATTTACTCCTTACAGTACACACTGAAATATGCTGATTACAATATAAACTGGCTACAACTTGACATGGTTTCATTCTGTCCAAAACAGATTAGGACCAGTGCATTTCTCATGATTTGTAACTAAGCGACAGCCTCAAAATATCTAAATTTTTCAAATCATTGGATGTTTCATGGCTTAATGGCAGAAGCAGAGCGCTGCATCAGTAGCACATGAGCGATGCAGCAGTTACACTGAAGAGCATGATCTGCCTTAATAATGCATCAGCGATCTGTCCTTCAGACACTGAGAAGACACTCACTGAGCGCTGACCCACACAAAACACACACACACACATCTCATTTACTCCTTACAGTACACACTGAAATATGCTGATTACAATATACTGTACACTGGCTACAACTTGACATGGTTTCATTCTGTCCAAAACAGATTAGGACCAGTGCATTTCTCATGATTTGTAACTAAGCGACAGCCTCAAAATATCTAAATTTTTCAAATCATTGGATGTTTCATGGCAAATATATAGAATTGTGGAAATAAAAAATTATATATATATATATATATATATATATATATATTTGTTTTTCTTGTGGTTCTGAAAAAGAGAACCACAAAACTAGAAACTAGATTTTTACATTTTCTAAATGTAAACATTTTCCTAAATGCAAAACTCACTGTAATGGTTCTAGGGTGATGTGAATATTTGGGTTTTCCATGTGGTTGATAAGGTAATTTTAACATGCTTTTTTGCAGTTGTTAAGGCGTTTTGGGGATGTTTCTAGGTGTTGGCATGCTGTGGTGATTTCTATAAAACAACAGAAATAGTGACTCTTGCCCTAGCAAACACCAAACCACATATTGCAAGTATTGCTATAATATGAAGACACTTAATGATCAAAAATGCCTAACTTTTCAACCCACCTTGTATGGTTTTATATAGTTGCATAGTTTAATATAATTTTTAGTAAAGTTTTTAATATAATATAATATGATAAATAGGGCAAACGTACCTATTAAGCTCACCAAAATCTACATTGAGACCTTTTTAGTGCACAAGATATTGGTTTCAGTACAAAAAGTTATGTTAAAATAAAAGATTAATCTCTCAAACAAAAATATTTAATTTTATTTTAAATGACAAAAGCATTTCAATTAAGATATACATCATTAAATGCAAAAAAGTCTGGCTGTGCTTAATCAAGCAGCAAGGCATCCAATTTTCCACTGATTTACAATCTGGAGAAGTTCACCGAGAAGTTCGCCAGTCTGCAGATTTGAGTCGACTGATTCCACAGAAAATCAATTAACTTAACTTAAAGTGACAAGCATCAGATAATATGTAACGTCTGTTTATGAAGTATTTACATTGACGTTCAATGTGGAAGAGCTTAAAGAGAGCACACTGAGCTTAATGGGAGCAGAAACCATTTTTAATCAATTTCATGTAATATTTATTAAAATGACAAGATTTAGCAAAATAAATCATCTAGGTCATGTATTAAGTTATTATGAACAACTATTATTAACAATATCTATGAAATTATACTTTTTCTTATAGACGTCACACTGAAGCTGTGTGATTTTCATAGTAGTGCACCCTTTAAAATTATGCAAATCTTCCCACATAGTGAGGTAGACGTGTGGGGGCATGTTAGAACGAGCCGTTTTAGGTAGGCGTGGCTGACTCTTAACTTTTATAAAGAATATCTCTTTGGATTTGAGACTTTAGTCTTTGCAACTTTACAGATCTTCTTTATGCACCAAGAGCTTGTAACACTCCAAAGAGAAAGGAAAAATTGAAATCGCATCATATGACCCCTTTAAGCTTTAAAATGAGATGAAGGGGAAAAATTATATTTCAATGCTTTTGCATTCACTCACAAAAATTGAGCTTCCTCAAGAAACTTTCTTGAAAAACCTTTTGCGCACCCCCTAAAAAGTTTGCATTCACAAAACTGGTGATGGAGGTAAAAACTAATGCTATTTCAAGGACTATATTTCAATGCTTTAGCAAGCAAATGCAACGTTTTTTCAGGTAAATGCAAAAGTTTTAGAAGAGAACACAAAATATTTGCAAATGATAGCTACATTTATCAGGGGACCTCAGTACTTTTGCAAAAGAAAAAGTAGATACAATCTGCAAGCGCACAATGTTTCTTGGGGAAATGCAAAATTGTTGCGAGCCAATGCAACGTTTCTCAGGGGAATTTTGCAAGTAAATGCAAAATCATATCCCTTTAGATTAGGGCTCCCTGTATTGTATTTCATTCTTATGCACAAAATTGAGCAATTTTGGTTAAGTTTAAAGTCAAGTCAAGTTAATAAAGTCATTGTATGTCATGTCAAAGCCATGTTTTGCTCTCTGTCTTATGACTCATTTAAGCCATATCGCGTAAGAAAGGGATTTTGTTGTTTTATAGCCCTGCTATTCAGACAACATTGGCATGATTACGAGTATGACATTGCTTTTATACAAGCATTTAATAAACAAGAAGTTAATATTGAGAAACTTACATTTTACTTCATCTATTCTTGCCAACAAAAATAGTTCCAAACGAAGACAAAAAATTGACTCTCACACATCAGAGCAACACAGAGAACACGTTTCGTTCCTAAATGAATCCGTGTTATGACAGTATCAGTTGAGTGAATAATTCAATGACTCATTCATAAAGAGTGTAATGATTTCATGTGTAAAAAGCAGTGCTGGGAAGTAACTGATTGTTACTGACTGTTTATTGATTACGTGTTTACATATTATTCACACAATAGCAATCAGTTATTCATATTTTATTGACTCTCACTAAATCTTCTTTTCCACTAAACTCACAAAACCCCAGTTTGGTAAACCTTGACATCATGTAAAGTTCAATGCACTTCATGATTTGAATATAATTTCTTTCACTTTGTATTTTTATAGCAATATGGTTCAAGATTGCCCTATTTAAATCAATGTGATGAACGTGTAAAGTCAAAAGTAATCTAAAAGTAATCCAAAAGTAGTCTGATTAAATTACCTGAAATGTGTAATGTAATGGATTATGTTACTGACTACAATTTTTGTCATGTAATTTGGAATCAGTAACAGATTACAATTTGCAAGCAATCTAGCCATCACTGGTAAAACGTCACTGAAACATTCCCTCTAATGCACATACTGACCAACACACTCTCATGGCAATTAATAACTACTTTACGCTTTGGTGAATTGATGCCTAATTCGTAAATTTTCCTAAAAATCCTACGTTTCCGTACAAATCACTGATTGCCACCCAACGTTTACTCCTGAGATTGGGTTGGACTGACAGTCTATGTGTAATGTGCAAACACAGTGAAAACTCAAAGGTCTGTATATCAGCACTCTCTAGGCCACTCAAAATCAAGGAGCAGAACTAACTGCTGACCGACACTAGCCAGCACATAGATCCTTGCCTCTGCCTGTTTTCTGCAGCTTCTCCACAACAACGTTACAGTTTACCACTGGCATGTTTCTTTGACTAGTGCATCTTTGAGCCTATATTTAGTAGCAGTAAAATACTTAAAGGGGACATATGATGCGATTTCAATTTTTCCTTTCTCTTTGGAGTGTTACAAGCTCTTGGTGCATAAAGAAGATCTGTAAAGTTGCAAAGAAGGCGTAACTTTTATTCTCGCTGTAGTATTGTTGACGCTGCCGCCATGTCCTGAAGACGCTGTGTTTCGCTGTGAAAGCTCAGCTCACTCTATCTAAGCCTGGGCTTCCCCTCACGCTAGGCCGCTGTGTTTGTCGTTGTGAAAGCGAAACTACTTTCTTTGGTCTTCCAAAAATGGACACGACTACAAATCAGTGGTTAAGCAGTATTTACAACACTGTTCCAGAACACTTCAACCCAAATATTCAGATGTGTGCAGCAC